TATTTCTAGGGGATTTTATTAATTTTCAAAATGGAGCATTCCATTTATTTAAAGGGTGGGGCTTAATTATCTAAATGGATCATTCCATTTATTTAAAGGGGGATTTTCTTAATTATAAAAAACAGAGCATTCCATTTATTTAAAGGGGGGATTTCTTAATTATCTAACTGGATCGTTCCAATTCTCCCAAAAGGGGGGTTAATTATCAAAACGGAGCGTTCCATTTCTTCAAAGGGGGGTTTCTTAATTATCTAAACGGAGCGTTCCAAATATTCAAAGGGGGGTTTAATTATCAAAATGGATCATTCCATTTATTTAAACGGGTTTTATCTTAAGTATCAAAACAGAGCGTTCCATTTATTTAAAGGGGGGCGCTTAATTATCTAAACGGATCATTCCATTTAAGGGGGCTCTTAATTATCTAAACGGATCATTCCATTTATTTAAAGGGGGGGGCGCTTAATTATCTAAACTGATCATTCCATTTATTTATAGGGGGATTTTCTTAATTATAAAAACGGATCGTTCCATTTCTTCCAAAAGGGGGGTTTAATTTTCAAAACGGAGCGTTCCATTTCTTCAAAGGGGGGTTTCTGATTATCTAAATGGATCATTCCATATATTTAAAGGGGGGATTTCTTAATTATCTAACTGGATCGTTCCAATTCTTCCAAAAGGGGGGTTTAATTATCTAAACGGATCATTCAATTATTTATAGGGGGATTTTCTTAATTATAAAAATGGAGCATTCCATTTATGTAAAGGGGGGGCTCTTAATTATCTAAACGGATCGTTCCATTTCTTCCAAAAGGGGGGTTTAATTATCTAAACGGATCATTCCATTTTTTTATAGGGGGATTTTCTTAATTTTCAAAATGGATCATTCCATTTATTTAAAGGGTGGGGCTTAATTATCTAAACGGATCATTCCATTTATTTATAGGGGATTTTCTTAATTATCTAAACGGATCATTCCATTTATTTAAAGGGGGGCTTCTTAATTATATGAATGGATCATTCCATTTATTTAAAGGGGGGTCTTAATTATATGAATGGATCATTCCATTTATTTAAACGGGTTTTTTCTTAATTATCAAAACGGATCATTCCATTTATTTAAACGGGTTTTTTCTTAATCATCTAAACGGATCATTCCATTTATTTATAGGGGGATTTTCTTAATTATAAAAACGGAGCATTCCATTTATTTAAAGGGGGGGCTCTTAATTATCTAAACGGATCATTCCATTTCTTCCAAAAGGGGGGTTTAATTATCTAAACGGATCATTCCATTTATTTATAGGGGGATTTTCTTAATTATCTAAACGGAGCATTCCATTTATTTATAGGGGGATTTTCTTAATTATAAAAACGGAGCATTCCATTTAAGGGGGGCTCTTAATGATCTAAACGGATCGTTCCATTTCTCCCCAAAGGGGTGTGTGTGTCTCCTCTTCAAATCTCCGCCTTCCAGAACTCGAACCCAGAACCCGGCCGGCCAATCGGACGTCTGGAATCGCTGCCCCCCCGCCCTTATCAAAAAGCGGACCGTTCCAGGATGATTGACAGCCATCTATCCCCAAACCCCCCAACCCAGAAAAGACACGGCACAAAATCTCTATCAAAATAACTATATTTCATCTTTTCAAGGGGGGGAAACGGGACGTTCCATTCGGTGGAAAACGGGGTGGGGTGGGGTGTGTGAATTTTTTTGGGGGGGGTCAAAGGGAGACGAGCAGCAATTAATTGACAGTTCAATTAATATATATATATATATATTATTATTAATATATATATTATTAATATATATACTATTAATATATATATATTAATATATATATATATATAAAAACACACAAACACCCCCATTTGAAGACGTTAAATGGTATTTTCCACACACACCCCAAAAAAACAAAGAGTTTCTGCCCCATAAAATGGCGGCAAATGTCAGAATTTGGGGGGCAAATCTTAGAATTGGGGGGGTAAATCTCAGAATTTGGGGGGAAATGTCAGAATTTGCTGGGAAATGTCAGAATTTGGAGGGAAATCTCAGAATTTGGAGGGGAAATCGCAGAATTTGGGCGGCAAATCTCAGAATTTGGGCGGCAAATCTCAGAATTTGGGCGGCAAATCTCAGAATTTGCTGGGAAATCTCAGAATTTGGGCGGCAAATCTCAGAATCCGGGTGGCAAATGTCAGAATTTGCTGGGAAATCTCAGAATTTGCGGGGGAAATCTCGGAATCGGGGGCAACACTGCGCAGCAAGAGAGGTAGATGGCAAGAGTCCGAAAAAGGGGCCCTCCGGCGATCATCCAGTCCAGCCCGCTTTTCCGCCGGCGGCGGCGGGTTCGAGTCGCAGGCTTCCAACAGGCGCATGAAGTCTTCAGTAGTGGTAGCGGGTTCAAGTCCTGGTGGTGGGTTCAAGCTGTGCGCTTCCACGGGGCGCCAAAGTCCTCAGCGGTCATCCAGCCCAACCCGCTTTAAGTCCTGGTCATGGGTTCGAGTTGCACGCTCCCAACAGGCCCATTCAGTCCTCTGCAATGCTGGGTGCTGGGTTCGAGTGATGCGCTTCCAACGGGCGCATCAAGTCCTTGGCCGTGGGTTCGAGTGCTGCGCTTCCAACATGCACCTCAAGTCCTTGGCCGTGGGTTCGAGTGCTGCGCTTCCAACGGGCGCATCAAGTCCTTGGCCGTGGGTTCGAGTGATGCGCTTCCAACATGCACCTCAAGTCCTTGGCCGTGGGTTCGAGTGATGCGCTTCCAACGGGCGCATCAAGTCCTTGGCCGTGGGTTCGAGTGCTGCGCTTCCAACATGCACCTCAAGTCCTTGGCCGTGGGTTCGAGTGCTGCGCTTCCAACGGGCGCATCAAGTCCTTGGCCGTGGGTTCGAGTGATGCGCTTCCAACATGCACCTCAAGTCCTGGCCATGGGTTCGAGTGATGCGCTTCCAACATGCACCTCAAGTCCTGGCCATGGGTTCGAGTGATGCGCTTCCAACATGCACCTCAAGTCCTGGCCATGGGTTCGAGTGATGCGCTTCCAACATGCACCTCAAGTCCTGGCCATGGGTTCGAGTGATGCGCTTCCAACATGCACCTCAAGTCCTGGCCATGGGTTCGAGTGATGCGCTTCCAACATGCACCTCAAGTCCTGGCCATGGGTTCGAGTGCTGCGCTTCCAACATGCACCTCAAGTCCTTGGCCGTGGGTTCGAGTCGCGCCCTCCCAAACAGACCCATCAAGTCCTCTGCAGTGGTGGGTCGTGGGTTCGAGCCATGCGCTGCTGACGCTTGCCTTGAATCCTTGGCAGTGGTGGGTTCGAGTCACGCGCTCCAACAGGCCCATCAAGTCCTGGCCATGGGTTCGAGTTGCGCACTCCCAACAGGCACATCCCGTCGGCGGTGGGTTCAAGTCATGCGCTTCCGACGGGTGCACAAGTTCTCGGTCCTGGGTTCGAGTTGTGCGCTCCCCACAGGCACCCTATGTGCTCCCATAAAGTCCTCTGCAGTGGCGGGTTGTGGGTTCAAGTGGTGCGCTTCCAACAGCCCCATGAAATCCTCGGTCCTGGGTTCGACTCATGCGCTCCCCACAGGCCCCTTAAGTCCTCTGCAGTGCTGGGTGCTGGGTTCAAGTCATGCGCTGCCAACAGGCGCATAAGTCCATGGTTGTGGGTTCAAATGGCCCACTCCCATCAGGCCCATTAAATCCCAGTAGTGGGTTCAAGTCATGCGCTTGGTGCATAAGTCCTGGCCATGGGTTCAAATCGCACACTTCCAACATCCCCATTAAATCCTCGGTCATGGGTTCGACTCATGCGCTCCCAACAGGCCCATTAAGTCCTGAACATGGGTTCAAGCAACGCGCTTCTGACAGGTGCATAAGTCCTCGGTCCTGGGGTTCAAGTTGCACATTCCCAACAGGCGCATAAGTCCTCGGTTGCGGGTTCAAGTCCTGCCCTTCTGACGATCGCATTAAGTCCTGGCCATGGGTTCAAGTTGCACATTCCTAACAGCCCCATTAAATCCCCGGTCGTGGGTTCAAATCGTGCGCTTGCAACAGGCCCATCAAGTCCTGGAGATGGGTTCAAGTCGAGCATTTCCAACGGGTGCATAAGCCCTCGGTCATGGGTTCGATTTATGCGCTCCCCATTAAATCCTATGCAGTGCTGGGTGCTGGGTTCAAGTCATGCGCATGAAACAGGAGCACTAAGTCCTGGCCGTGGGTTCAAGTCATGCGCTCCCAACAGACACATTAAGTCCTGGCCATGGGTTCCGACGGGCCCATTAAATCCCCGGTTGTGGGTTCGAGTCATGCGCTCCCCACAGGCCCATTAAACCCCCGGTCCTGGGTTCGAATCATGCGCTCCCAACACGATCGCATTAAGTCCTGGCCATGCGCTCCCAACAATCATGCGCTCCCAACAACGATCGCATCAAGTCCTGGCCATGGGTTCAAGTTGCACATTCCCAACAGCCCCATTAAATCCCCGGTCCTGGGTTCGAATCATGCGCTCCCAACACGATCGCATTAAGTCCTCTGCAGTGGTGGGTTGTGAGTGCGAGTCGTGCGCTTCCAACAGGCCCATTAAATCCTGGCCCTGGGTTCAAGATGCACATTTCTGACGGGCGCTTCAAGTCCTCAGTTGTGGGTGCGAGTTGTGCGCTTCCAAGGGGCGCATGAAGTCCTGGCCATGGGTTCAAGTCACGCCCTTCTGACGGGCGCATAAATCCTTGGTAGTGGGTGCAAGTCGTGCGCTTCCGAGGGGCGCATAAGTCCTGGCCATGGGTTCAAGTCATGCGCTCCCAACAGGCCCATTAAGTCCTGGACATGGGTTCAAATTGTGCGCTCCCAACAGGCCCATCAAGTCCTGGCTGTGGGTTCTCCCACGTGCGCATAAGTCCTCGGTTGCGGGTTCAAGTCATGCGCAATTCTGACAGCCCCATTAAATCCCTGGCTGTGGGTTCGACTCATGCGCTCCAAACAGGCACATTAAGCCGGTGGTGGGTTCGCCCTTCTGATGGGCGCATAAGTCCTCGGTTGCGGGTTCAAGTTGCACGCTCCCAACAGGCCCACAAGTCCCTGGTCATGGGTGCAAGTCGTGCATTTCCAACAGGTGCATAAGTCCTCAGCAGCGGTGGGTTGTGGGTTCGACTCACGCACTCCCAACAGGCCCATTAAATCCTCGCTTGTTGGTTCAGATGGCGCACTTCCGACGGGCGCAAGTCCTCAGTCATAGGGTTCAAGTTACACATTCCCAACGGGCGCATAAGTCCTCAGTTGTGGGTTCGAGTTGCACACTCCCCACATTCCCACGAAACCCCCGGTTGCGGGTTCAAGTCACGTGCTTCCAAATGGCGCATTCGCTTCTCGGGTGCGGGTTCGAGTCATGGGCTTAAAAGACGCCCCTTAAGTCCAGGCTGTGGGTTCTCCCACGTGCACAAAAGTCCTCGGCTGCGGGTTCGAATCCTGCGCTTCCAACATCCCCATCCAATCCTCAGCCATGGCTTCAAGTCATGCGCTCCCAACATGCGCACCAAGTCCTCTTCTGGCCCGGGTTCGAGTCCCGCCCCCTTACGACGGCCCTCCTCCTCCCCCCCCGCCCCCCCGGGCCTTGGCCACCAAGTAGAGCACGATGTCCTGGTGCCCCGAAAAGGCCGCCATGTGCAGCGCACTCCAGCCGTCCCGGTTGGCCAATCGCACGTCGGCGCCGAACCGCACCAAGAGTTTCACCAGCTCCAGGTTCCCGTCGCTCACCGATTGGTGCAAGGCAGTCTGGCCCTCCGGCCCAAAGGCGTTGACGTTGAATTCGCACGAGTTCATGGTGCGCAGGAGGGCGTGCACGGCGGCCGTGTTGCCGGCGCGCACGGCGTCCCGGAAGAGGCGCTCGCCCGGCGCGGGGGGCGGGGACAAGGGAGGGGGGGGAGAGGGGAGCTCGGCTTGGTTCATGGTGCGAGGGGCGCGGGTTCGAGGATTGGAGGCTCTGGGTTCGAGGATTTGGAGGGTTCTGGCTCTGGGTTCGAGGATTTGAAGCCTTCTGGATTTGAAGCTTTCCGGATGCTGGCTCTGGGTTCGAGGATTGGAGGCTCTGGGTTCGAGGATGGTGCGAGGATTGGTGCGCCGGGTGCGAGGATTCGGAGAATTCTGGAGTCGGCCTGGTTCGGGATTGGTGCGGGTGGCAAGGATTCGGAAGATTCTGGGTTCCGGCTCTGGGTTCGAGAATTGCAGGCTCTGGGTTCGAGGATTCGAGGGTTCTGGGTTCGAGGATTGGAGGCTCTGGGTTCGAGGATTTGGAGAGTTCTGGATGGGAAGCTTTCTGGAATCCGGCTCTGGGTTCGAGGATTGGAGGCTCTGGGTTCGAGGATTGGAGGCTCTGGGTTCGAGGATTGGAGGCTCTGGGTTCGAGGATTGGAGGCTCTGGGTTCGAGAATTTGGAGACTTCCGGATGCTGGCTCTGGGTTCGAGGATTCAAGGGTTCTGGGTTCGAGGATTGGAGAGTTCTGGAGTCCGGCTCTGGGTTCGAGGATTTGAAGCCTTCTGGATGGGAAGCTTTCTGAAGTCCGGCTCTGGGTTCGAGGGTTCGAGGATTGGAGGCTCTGGGTTCGAGGATTTGAAGCTTTCTGGAGTCCGGCTCTGGGTTCGAGGATGGGGAGCCTTCCGGATGCTGGCTCTGGGTTCGAGGATTCGGAGGATTCTGGGTTCTGGCGCCGGGTTCGAGGATTTGGACTCTGGGTTCGGGGGTAAAGGCTTCAGGAGGAGGAGGAGGGGTTAGGGACCTCACTGACGGGCTAAGCTGGGGGTTCAAGACCCGCCCACTAGCCCCACCTGCTTAAGGACCTTCCAAGGGGGGGGGGAGTTCAGGACCTCCCTCAATGGGTGAAGAAGCTTCCGGAAGGGAGTTCGGGGTTAAAGACCCCCCCCCCCCGCGCCTGGTTAAGGACCTTGGAGGCGGGAGGGAAAGGGGTTAAGGACCTCCCTCAGTGGGTTAAGGACCCCCCCCTAGCCCCAGCTGGTTAGGGACGCTGCAAGGGGGAGTTAAGGCCCGAGCTTAGAGCCCCGTCTGGGGGGTGCTAGAGACCCTCTGGGTTTGAGGCTGGGGGGTGGGGGGGGTTAAGGACCTCCCTCAACGAGACCGAGCTTAGAGCCCCGTCTGGGGGGTGTTAGGGACCTTCGGAGTCAAGACGGGAAGGAAAGGGTTAAGGAGGGGGGGTTAAGGACCTCACCAACGGGGTGATTTGGTTAAGGACCCTCGGAAAGGGACTTTGGGGTTAAAGACCACCCCCCCACTAGCACCACCCAGTTAGGGACCCTGCCCCGACGGGTTCAGGAGGTTCCGAAAGGGAAAGGGAGTCGAGGGTTACAGACCCCCCCCCAACCTGGTTAAGGATGCTGCAAGGGGGAGTTAAAGACCCCTTAATGGGTTCCGGGTTCGAGACGCGAGTTCAGGACCTGCCTTAGGGACCCCCCTCCCAGTTTGGACTGGTTTAAGGTGGGGGGGACAGAAAGGGGTGAAGGAAGCCTCTTAGGGAGCCAAGTTAGGGACCCCCCTCCCAGTTTGGACTGGTTTAAAGTGGGGGGGGACAGAAAGGGGTGAAGGACGCCTCTTAGGGACCCGAGTTAGTGACCCTCCCCCCGACAAAGGGTTAAGGACCTCCCTCAATGGGTTAAGGAGGGACGGAAAGGGAGCCGAGGGTTAGGGACCCTCCAAGGGGGGGGAGATAAAGACCCCCAATGGGTTCCGGGTTCAAGACCCTCCCCTGGTTAAGGACCCCTTAATGGGTTCCGGGTTCAAGACCCTCCTGGGGGGGGGAGTTAAAGACCCTCTGCTCTCCCTTCGCTCTAAGGGAGAGAGTTAAGGACCTGCCTGGGGGGGAACCGGGTGATAGAGACCCCCCTCCACCTCCGGTTAGGATAGGTTAAAGCCTCTCTCTATGGGGGGGGGAGTTAGGGACGCCCCCTCCCCAGTTTGGACTGGTTTAAAGGGGGGGGAAGAACGCCTCTTAGGGACCCAGTTAGGGACGCCCCCTCCCCAGTTTGGACTGGTTTAAAGGGGGGGGAGAAAGGGGTTAGCGACCCCCCCTTCCTCCTCCCGCCCCCCCGAAACGACGCTCCGCTTCTGGCCCCTCCCCTCCCCCTAGTCCTCTCTCTAGTCCGCCCCCCCCTTTTAAATTTGGGGGGGTGTCTCTCTTCTCCTCCCCCCCGGCTCCTCCTCTTTCGGGGTGGGGGGGACGAACCCCCCAAAATATCGATTCGGATCGGGCCCCCCTCCCCTCCTCCTAGTCCTCCGCCTGGTCCTCTCCCTTCAAATGGGGAATCGGGGGGGGGGGGAATCGGGGTTCGGCTCCTCCTTCCTGGGGTGTCAATCAATAGGGGGTGTCCAAAATGTCCCTGGGGGGGGCGAACCCCCAAAAATATTCCTCCTTCTAGCCCCCCCTCCGCCTGGTCCACTCAGAAGAAGCCCCCTCCCCACCCCGTGTTTTTTTTTTGGGGGGGGGGGGAAATCGGCTCTTCGTCTCCTCCTTCCTGGGGTGTCAATCAATGTCAATCAAGAGGGGGGTGTCCAAAATGTCCCCCCTCTCCCCTCAATCAAGAGGGGGGGTCCCCCCAAAAATATCCCCCTCCTCCTAGTCCTCCGCCCGGTCCGCTCAGAAGAAGCCCCCTCCCCACCCCATTTTTTTTTGGGGGGGGGGGAATCGGCTCTTCGTCTCCTCCTTCCTGGGGTGTCAATCAATGTCAATCAATCAATATCCCCCCCCTCCCCTCCTCCTAGTCCTCCGCCCGGTCCGCTCGCTTTCCAACGGGGGGGGGGATTTTTTTTGGGGGGGGTCTCTTTCCTCCCACCTTCCTCCGCTCTCCTCCTCCTCCCGGGGGTGTCAATCCAGAGGGGGGGTCCCCCCAAATAATATCCCCCCCTCCTCCTAGTCCTCCACCTGGTCCGCTCTCTCTTCCAATGGGGGGGGGGGAATTGTGGGGGGGGGGGTGAGGTGTCTCTCCTCCAAACCTTTCCTCCTCTCGGCTCTTCCTCCACCTCCGGGGCGGGTGGGGGGGGGGTGTCCAAAAAATAAGGGGGGGGGGCGGCCCCGATCCGGACCTCCCCTCCTCCTAGTCCTCCGCACGGTCCGCTCCCTCCCAATTTGGGGTGGGGGTGGGGTGGGGAGAGAGAATCCCCGGCTCGGAAAGCTTCGGCAACTCCTCCTTCCTGGGGTGTCGAAGAATAAGGGGGGGGGGATGTCCGGATCGAGCCCCCCCCCCTCCTCGCAGTCCTCCGCGTGGTCCGCTCCCCTTTCCAATGGGGGGGGGATTTGGGGGTGTCTCTTTCCTCCGAGCTGCGTCCGCTTCCGGGGGGGGGGTGTGTGTGTGTGTCCAAGAATAAAGGGGGGTCCGGATCGGGGCGCCCCCACCTCTCCCACCTCCTCTCCTCGCAGTCCTCCGCCTGGTCCGCTCACAAGCAGCGCCCCCCCCCTTTCAATGGAGAATCGGGGGTCGGAAACCTTCAGCTCTTCGTCTGCTCCTTCTCGGGGTGTCAATCCATATATTGGGGGGGGTCCCCCTCCCTCTAGTCCTCCGCGCGGTCCGCTCCCCTTTGCCAACGGAGAGGGGGGGGAAGAGAAATTTCGGGGGGGGGTCGCCTCTTCTTTTCCCTCCCAGCTTCCTCCTCTTCCGGGGGTGTGTGTGTGTGTCCAAGAATAAAGGGGGGGGGCTGTGGGTCCGGATCGGGCCCCCCCCTCCTCGCAGTCCTCCGCCTGGTCCGCTCAAAAGCAGCCCCCCCCCTTTCAATGGAGAATCAGGGGGTCGGAAAGCTTCGGCTCTTCCTCTCCTCCTTCTTGGGGGGGTCAAAGAATTAAGAGGATCCGGATCGGGCCCTTTTTGCGCGCCCCCCCTTTAAAATAGGGGGCGCTTTCCCTTCTGCGCATGCGCCGCCGCCGCCGCCTCCGCCGCCCGACTGAGATCAGCCTCGCTTCTCCCCTCGCCTTTTATTTGCATGCCGGCTCCCCATTGGCCGCCGCCGACGTTCCCAGGCTTCCCATTGGCCGAGGCTCGGCGTTCCCAGAGCGGCCATTGGAGGCCGCCGGGAGGGGAAAGGGAAGGCGCGGATTGGATGCAGCGCGCAGGGGGAAAAAGGGAAGGCGCTGATTGGCTGCGGCGCGCGGGGATGGAACGTTGGGAGTTCCAAGCGAATGGAGGCTGCCATTATTATTATTATTATTATTATTATTATTATTATTATTATTATTATTATTATTATTATTATTATTATTATTATTATTATTATTATCATCATCATCATCATCAAGGACTGGCCGTTGTTATTATTATTATTAATCATTATTATTAATCATTATTATTATTATTATTATTATATGCAAGGACTGGCCATTATTATTATTATTACTATTATTATTATTATTACTATATGCAAGGACTGGCCATTATTATTATTATTATTATTATTATTTGCAAGGACTGACCATTATTATTATTATTATTACTATTATATGCAAGGACTGGCCATTATTATTATTATTACTATTATTATTATTATTATTATTATATGACAATATATATATTGTCATCGAGTGTTTGGATTTGAAGGCCCTCCGAGGGAATACTAATACTACTAATCATATATATAATTTATTATTATTATTATTATTATTATTATTATTATTATTAAGTCCAGGAAGGAGAGCCTCCCCTTATTATTATTATTATTATTATTATTATTATTATTATTATATGCAAGGACTGACCATTATTATTATTATCATTATTATTATTACAGTATTATTATTATTATTATTACTATTATTATATGCAAGGACTGACCATTATTATTATTATTATTATTTGCAAGGACTGACCATTATTAATAATAATAATAATAATAATAATAATAATAATAATAATCATTATTATTATTATTGCTATTTTTTTTGACTTACTGTTATTTTTCTAAATGACATTTTAAATAACTATTAATTGCAATTTTTATCACTATCACTCTCTTATTTTATCACCTACTATTGTTGCATTTATTAATGCTTACATTTTGTATTAATTGCAATTTTTATCACTAGTATTATTACATTTTACATGACATTTTTTATTACTATTAAATTATCACTGACCATATTATTTTATCACCTATTTTTATTTCATTATTATTTGATTATTTCTCCGTTTTCAAACGTTCCCCTTCGGCCTTCGCTCTCTTTGCTCTCCCACTGACGCTCTAATATTTAATGGTAATAATATTATGATGCTCTAATTTTTAAATATTTAATAATAATCTGATGATGCTCTAATTTTTAATGATGGCCTAATTTTTAAATTTTTACTAATACCATGATGCTCTACTTTTTAAATACTTAATATCCTGCTGCTCCCATTTTTAAAGACTTACCGGTAATAATATCATGATGCTCTCAATCTTAAATACTTAATAATAATATCATGCCCTATTTTTTAAATATTTAATAATATGATGCTCTAATATTCAATAATAATAAGATGATGCTCCAATTTTTAAATACTTAATAATATCATGATGCTCTCATTTTCAAAGAATAATTTGATGCTCCAATTTTTAAATATTGAATCCTAATAATAGGACGATGCCCTGATTTTTAAATACTTAATCATAATATGATGCCCTAATTTTTAAATATTGAATCCTAATATGATGCCCTGATTTTTAAATACTTAATCATAATATGATGCCCTAATTTTTAAATATTGAATCCTAATATGATGCCCTAATTTTTAAATATTAAACCATAATACGATGATACCCTAATTTTTAAATATTAAACCATAATACGATGATA